TATATATATATATATATATATATATATGTATGTATATGTATATAATGAACGGTAGTACATAAAATGCACAGAAAACTTCAGAACAAGAATTAACAACTTTACATTTAGCTTCTTAGTTCGGTGATATCAGTCCCTTGAGAAGATCAAAACTATTCCCATCCGGATGAACGGTGAATATTGCGTCCGTGTCCGCTCGTACTTTTAAAAATCCAAAATCATCAATACCTAGTATCGTAACATTTTTGGATTTTCCGCTTGAGTCTATCACCGTGACATTTGCATTTCTAAAAAGTGCGAGAAATTTTATATACATATAATGTGTAATTTGATAAACGTGTATTCGATATATTATCGGGCAAGCATCGTTCACTCACTTGTGCAACCAATATTTGTAATAGAGATCATAAAAACTCTCCATATGATCGTTTTGACACTTGTCCAAGTTATATTCCAATTCGTTGAAAACGAACGCTAAGTACTTTTCGTAAGAGAACGTATCTAATTTTGTACCATGTTTTTGATTATATTGAACGATCACATCGTTGATACACGTTGTGGGCTTGCTATTGCTGAGATTCACACCAGCGCCTGAAATTGCGAAAGTATTCAATAATATTTTGTGCGAGTTTATCTTCGTAGAATTCGCATTTAAATTGGCAGTTTACGTACCGACATTGCAAATACACAATGACTGTTCTACCAGAGTAGATACGATCAGGCCACCGATTTTGGTCGAGTTCGCATAGATATCATTAGGCCATTTCAGTCTGAGGTCGATGTCCTTCAAATAAATCAATTAATTGATTCATCCTGTATTTTACCAAACGCGCGGCGTGTAACACGCTCTATCTGTTAACAATTTTGCGAAACGAAGATCCAGAGAATAATGACAATGAAACAAAATACCTCGTATCCTGATTGAGATCTTACAGCTGACACGAGTGCTACAGCAGCTATGTGTTGAAGAAGCGAGATGCGACTACCGAGTATAGAATCCTTAGGAATGTGAACTTGTACAGTAAACATGGCACAACCTATCGGACTGAGCCATACATTGCGACCTCGACCTAAAAAAAAAAAAAAAAAAAACAATAATACAAAGGTTATTTTTTTCTGCACGCGTAACCGATAAACGAATAAAATAGTACCGTGTCCTTGTGTTTGCTGCCGTGGAATAACCGTCAGTCCATGTTCCAAGTGGCCTTCGGTCGCGTGCATGGATGACGTTAAAATTTCTGCATATATTACCAAGCGACCTAAGGCCTTTGTAATGAGATACTGAAGCAAGAGAGAATTGATCTTCTCAGATTTAAATACTTCAAAGTAAAACCAACTTTTTTACATTATCACACTTATATCTAATCGCGTATTGCTCCTTAAAATTTGACACAACAAACAAGATTTGTTTAATTATACGTCGCGAGATTTGCTATTTTTTTTTAAATTGTTTTCATTATCCGAATAAAAATACGCGCGTACTTACATTGTAATAATCCACAGTCGAGAAATTAGTCGGACACAAATGCATCATAATCGGAAGAAAAGTAGCCGATGGAGCTTTCGCGTTGCGTGCGTCTTTGTAAAACTGAATAACTAATTTCGGCAATGTCAGTACATCGTCCTCATTTAGTCCTTTTAGATTTCTAAGCATTCTTACTTTCATCTACAATCGTAAAGACAGTGTCTGTAGTATTTTTTAGAGGATATGATATAGTTATAGTCAAGTTGAGACACAATCTTCGATATTGTCCTCTAGAGAAACATTACCTCAAATTTGCCTAAAAAGTAACCGTGAGTATATTTTACGGGTTCGGTGATATTTTTAATCTTTGTCGTCTCGATTCTTAAATGCGTGCTAAGCAGATCGTTGATTATTTCTAAGCGTGCGGCGTTGCTCTCCTTCAACGCCTTAAATTTATATTCCTCGTATTCGTATTGCGTTGGATCTACTTCCAAATGGATTTGGGAAAACACCACTTTACCGCCGCTACTGGCCAGAGTCGCGAGCAATATGCTCGGATTGTGCCACGTTTCTTCCGTGCCCAAAACTTTCACGTCGAACGAATGAAATTCTCCCCTTTTGTCTTTGATTCTGGTCGATGTCGGGGGATTCAATACGGATGATCTGCAAGAAATGTGATGTAGTTTTGCTCTCGTGATACAGAAGATACAAAAAATTTTTATTTTGAATACATATCATACATCTTTTCCTCTTTCTCGTGAGAAAATATTTACCTTGTATCTTCCTGATCTTGAGAAAATCGAGCTCGCACGGGAGACGCGTGATAGCAAAAAATATGATGCATCATACGCACGCGTTTCCATTTGCCGTAAGAAAAGTGGACGAGTTCGTTTTCCCGCACCTCCGCAGTTTTGAAAGACGGTAGAAGGGTGTGCAGCATGTCGGAGCATAAAGCTAGAAGCTTACCACCCTGTATGATATATTCCACAAGTTGAGAGCCAATTTCGGCGTCAACATTTCCGCAAATAACAGCCAACGCGACTTGATCCGTCCACACGTTTGAGCGAGCTTCTTCTCGCGATAATTCGTAAATGACGTATCTAAAAAATGAAAAGACGAATGACAAAAACAACCAAATTCTCTTCCGTTTCTTGTTACAAACCCAAGATCTAAACGTAAACACACCTGTCCGGTTCCAGCGTTTTTTCTAACACGTTTATCACATTAGTGACTGCGTCCGGGCTGTCCGCGTAAACGACTATCGTCGGTGGTTTAACGACTTTGCTCATTTTTCCTTTTTCTTCTATTTTCGAACTTCTGCAAGTTAATGATTTGATATACACGAGTCGTGTTGTGTTCACAAAAACGCGATATGCGTTTACGATGTTACTTACGTAGAAGCGGTTGGAAAGTCTGTTTTTCCAGTGGGTTTACTCTGAGAAATATTCATAGTAGAAATTTTACTATCGATATCAAGTAACGTATTGTCTTTTCGTTCCATAGCACTAGATAACTGGGTTTTAGCTAAATCGTCAAATTTATTTTCTCTTCCACTAGTTGCTGTAGGCACTTTCTCTGTTGATGCAGATGAGTTTATACCAGGTTGCACACTCGGTTTTTTTGTGACAGAAGTTGCAATTGGCGTTGAAGGAGGCGTTGCTGGTGTAGAAACGCTCGATGTTTTAACATCTAAAATGTGAACAATTAAATATACAAAAATTTACACAAGCAATCAGTTCTTCACGACACTAAAAAAAAATTTATTCAACTTGGTCGTAAAGAACCGAACAATGACGGTGCATGTTATCAAAATTTATTGCAAAATGTAATAAGAGAGTAACACGTTTCGAAAACTTTTAAGATCTCTTAAAAAGTTTTTACAATTAAAAACTGGAAGCTGGTGTCGCTGAATAGAAAGTAAGAAAAAACATACAAAGAGGTTATCAAGAGACCTGTACACATCAAAAGACGACAAAAGAGTAAGTCGGTTTCTTTCAAATCAAGTCGGAATAAATAACGAACCACGTGAACGTAATAAGTGGGGGAGAAAACAAGAAGCCATTATCAAGTGATATCGCTCGTATGTGACTCATGTTTATAGTCACACCGGTCACACGTGCATACACACGCACACACACACACAAGTGATATTTGTATTTCTAATTTAGTAAAATTATTTAAATACATTAATTGATTGAAGTCGGCTTGAAAAAATAAATATTCTCTAAAGAGAATATTTATTGAAGCTAATATAGTGTCAATAAATACAAAACATTAATTCGTTCTGAATTACATAAATCCTTGACACATAGAATTTCACAATGAAAAGATAAACACACGCAAAAACATATACACTTGGTTTCCTCGCACATACCATTATTTTCAGTAGTTCCTGCAGGACTCGAATTTGTTTCATTGTTCAGATCTTTGTTTTGCGGATGTACGATCACGCCAGATACTTGAGCAACTTCTGTAGGCTTATTTTGATCTGACGCAATTCTAGCCGCGTGACTTATCGCGCGAAGAATATCTGCGCGAGGAAATAAACAGATATAAAATGTTTATACGTTTCAAAGATAATATGAATTAACGAATAATAAAAAAATAATAATAACTTGCCTTTCTCTGGCGGCAAGAAAGAATTCTCGCTGTCAAAAACACACGGTTTACCTGACACCACGACAGCTGGAAAGATGAAGAATCGATGAGATAATGTCGTTAAATTAAAATAGTTTGTATTTTGAAAGATATAATTTTGGTTTGATTTACATACATTGTATACGCGTTAGAATTAAATTATTGTTAATGTAATTTTGTCCCTGCATGATCGCAATGATGAAACTTGTAATGCAATCAATATTAGTTTCCAGAATAAAACTGATATTATCATTTGTTGTCCATGATGTGATCAGACCGTAGTCTTCAAGCTGCAAAATAAATGGAATAATGTCAGAAAACAAATAATTCCGGCACTTATATGTGAAATGTGACGAAATTCATATGTGGAATATAATCATGTAATAACTAAAAAAAAAATCAAAACCAATTCTATTGGTTTTGATTTTTTAAAAACTAAAAGAAATTTAGTTTTACTTTTGTAGTGATCATCGAAGTCTGAGGTCTGTAAGTCTCGAGATCTGCTTCCACAAGAATATGCATCTTGTGATCAGCTTCGTCCGAAGTTTTGAAACTGTTGTTCATATTCAAAGGAAACAATGAATTTCCTTGTGGACAGCTCACCCAATCCCACACACTGATCTGTTGCTGTTGAGATATAATACGTTTACAATAATTATTCCATTTCATAATCTAGAACATAAAGAACGTAAAAAACGATGCAGGCTATTTAATAATACACATACTTGGGGATATATGGTGCATAATTTCATGTCATCTTGATACCACAATAATTCACCAAGTTTAGCAAGATCCTTGTTAAGACACAAGTGAGAACTCATGAAGTTCTCGTCCTGCCTGGGTTCGTTATAGTCTAAAGCAACAATGTAAATTAAATTTTTTAATTTGTTCAATACATAATTTTTTCTTCATTAATGAATGAAAGCGCAGATAATCGCACATAGAAAATTACCTCCGTTCATCAAATGCTGAGGTGATTTGATGTAAAGCATAAATGAAGAACTACGTTTGTTTCCCTTGAAAATAGACTGCATGTGCTTTTTGAAAAAAGATATCCTTCGTGACTGGGTAACTGTAGCTACCATGTAAAGGAACGTCAGCAGCATTTTTTTTCAATAATATGTATATAATTTTGTAAAAGTGTTTTTGAGAAACGTGAGAATTTAATCCTTGCCACGGGTTTTAATTCTGAAAAAAAATAATAAATACACTTGAAAAAATGTATATATTATAAAAAATAAAAACATGTCAAAAATACAAGCGCCTTAAATTGTTGCTCAATCTAGTAAAAAACAAATGACGGATAAAAACAGAACAAGAGAAAAGGAGAAAACATGTTTCTTATCTAATTTTAATATTCAGGTCGAGTGTGTACAAGTGCATATATATTTAAAATTATATAAACATGCTTTGTGTGTGTGTGTGTGTGTGTGTGTACGTGATAAATACAAAAATCTACCGTATTATTTCTTAAAGCAAAATACTAACAGGAACCATTGCCCAAGATATAACAACAATTGTGTATTTCTAAAAACAAACAAAAAAAAGTCTAAAATTTGTTCCCCTCTTCATACTTATTTGATGACCCCCTTGTGAACTGGATGGAAGCAATTGATAAGAATCAGGAGCGATATAAATGAAGTCAATATTTTTATATTTTCCAATCGTACATTTACATGCAAGTAAGCGGGTAAAAGCATATATCTGATGAGATGTACGAGGTCTGTCACGACGATTTGCAATAGCAAATTTAAATCGGCGAGAACATTGGCCATCCACACGTGCTCTACGTACCGTACTCCGTATAATCTCGACTGGATGCATAATTTTGCTCCGGAGTTTCGCTCCCTTTCCTCTTTCGGCGGAATCAAAGCAAAGCGCAGAAGCGGTATCGAGGCTCTCGAGAATATCGATACTTGCTGAAAAAGCCGACTTATCAAATGCGAGAATCAACGGAAATAGATTCCGTCGATCTTTCTGATTGGGTGGAAATGTTTTTGCGGTTAATAAATTTGCACAATGTTGCATTTTTTTTTTTTTTTTTTGCTCTCCTCTACTTCTCCGCGCAAATCAAAATGAAACTTTTCGCAAGAAACGTGTTTCTTCCATAGACGTATGATATATAGACTGCGCGTTTGGCTGAAAAGACGTCTTCAACGTTGAGAGAGACAACATACTTTGAATAGTAACTCTTTCTTTGTCTATCATTTCCCCCACTACTTCGCTAGACTAAAGATGAGGCTACTATTCAACACCAGCTGTCTTTCTCTCAACGTTGAAGACATTTTCTCAACATGGCAAAGGTAGGGAACGCGCAGTCTATATATTATACGTCTATGGTTTCTTCAACACGACCGGTTTTCAACTCTGGTTTCCCTTCAACACACGACCGGTTTTCAGCGAATCGTATATTTTCTTTTGACGAAGTTAGGTTAGTAAAATCATGACCTTGACAGACGCGACTTTATCGACGCGTGTGTCGTACACGTGTGTGGTTTTTCTTCTTGTATTTTATTTTTGTCAGTTAGGCGCAATTTGAAGAACATGATTGTCTACAGGAGTCTTTGCGCGAATGTTATGAAAAAGAGTCGGATGATAAACAAATGTCTGACAAATGTGTCGGTTAGACGTCGGTGTTCGAGGACAACAACAAGTGCATCTCCGGAAGATGACGAGAAGTCAACACACTTTGGTTACCAAAGCGTCAAAGAAAGTGAAAAAGGAAAGAAAGGTAATTTTGTCTTGTTTGTGTGAAAGAGTTGCGCTAATATTGACTAAGTTTTCTGATATGACCTTCAACAGATATTGCAACACGCAATTTTTAATCTGACAGTATATATATATATATATAATCTTTTTCAGTGTATGACGTATTTGAGAATGTCGCCAAATCTTACGACACAATGAATGACGCGATGAGTTTGGGTATCCATCGTATTTGGAAAGATATTTTTGTTCAGGAATTAGGACCCACTCACGGTACCAGTCTCTTGGATTCTGCCGGTGGCACAGGTGACATTACATTTCGGTACATGAATTTTCTAAGGAAAACACCAAACCCACACAACATACGTAGTCACGTAACTGTGTGCGATATAAATCAGAATATGCTAGATGTTGGAAAAGAGCGAGCGAATAAATTAGGTTTGTCGCGGCAGAGTAATTGCAGTATCACGTGGAAGCTGGAGGACGCGGAGAATCTCTCATTTCCTGAAGACTCTTTCACCGCCTATACGATAGCATACGGAATAAGAAACGTGACGCATATCGACAAGGTATTTGTCAGGTTTATCTGTTAATTCTGTTGTTGTTTCTGAAAGTTGTTAAAAAAATACATTTGTTTTCCTGCACAACATATTGCTCAGCAGTAAAAACGTGCATTAAATTAGAAATTTGTGTTTATCATTATTTGTGTCTGAAAATTACAATTTTTGTAGGCGTTGTCCGAGGCGTACAGGGTCTTAAAGCCGGGAGGAAGATTCTTGTGCTTGGAATTTAGCCACATTACCAACGAATCTTTGAAATGGTACGACGTGTACTTTAGAGCGACAAAAAGCTATTGACATTTCAATAATCAGAGAGTAACGCAACACACAAACTACAGCGACACTATCTCAAATGACTGTTTCAGGTTGTATGATCAATATTCTTTTCAAATAATACCTGTGATGGGACATCTGATCACGGGACAATGGAACGCTTATCAGTATCTCGTGGAAAGCATAAGAAGATTTCCGAAGCAGGAGGAATTCAAGGTATTTTCAATTTCCAATTGTTTATTTCTTACATGCTCGTTGCTCTGTGCTGCGTTCTTTTTTTTTTTTTTTTTTTTTTGAAATTTGATAATAATTTATATATTGTTGCGATTTATCATTTTTCAGGATATGATAGAAACTGCGGGATTTAGAAACGTGACGTACACCAATCTCACGTTTGGCATAGTGGCTATTCACTCGGGCTTTAAGTTATAAAAAATAAAATTTATTAACAAAATAAAACACAAATGGGTTTTGAGAGAAGATTCGCGAAAGGCGGTATATTAGCTCATACAAGTGCAAGCAAAACTTCACTGAAGGAGCGACAATATCAAAAAATGTAAAAATATCTTACTACATATTTTGTATTTATGTTTTTTTACAGTAGAAAAAGTATAAATTAAAGTATAGAAATATAAAATTAAAGTATTAAAGTATAAAAAAACCATGTATGTGCAATACACGTTTTATTCAATCGCAGTAGTTTTTGTGAATATTGATGAGTTTTTTTGTTGTTTTTAAATAGAAATTTCTTTTATCAACAGAGTTCACGGCAATTTAGATTCTCTAAACGACGTGTACAAAAAACCCGAATTTCACCGCTGGTTCACATTTAAGCTACTGCCACCTGTCCGAGTGTGAAATTCACTTGCCTACTGCGTAATATATCGCTCTATGCCTGCAACCTGCTACATTGCGTAAGAGTCGTGCGACTCTTGGGTGCCTCGTACTTAAGATTATGCTACCACCAATGCCTATCGCGATTTACGCGCTTCTGCGCGGGTCGGTTCCGCTCTCTCTCTCGTAAATGGACCCTTAGCAGATTTAGATATCAAACATACGCGCGACGACACTTTTGACAAGATAAATAGATAAAGAAAGACGAGCGCTTTCTTGAAACTGAACTATGTGCGCGAATTTATGTCAGGGATATCAGAATTTTTTTTAGATTTTTAGATAGTCCCGCGATCAGCAGAACCGAAGAATAACCTGATGAAAAGCACGAAGAGTAACGATAAAAGTACCATAGTAAAAACCTGAAGATAACAAAAAACAAAAAAAAAAAATAAAACAAACAGAAGAGGATGGAAAGCGGAAAACGGGAAAGCGGAAGTTTTCAACGCTCCGATAATCGGGGGGGAAGAGGGAGGAGAGAGACAACGCGACCTAGTGAGGAGAAGAGATGTCGTGTCTCCTCTATTATAACGACGACGAATCGAAGGCCGCGTCTAGGCGAGGAGGGATTCACATTCTACGTGGCGTAATATCTAAATGCGTCATGCGCGGCGGTGCTTTCTCTCTAGGAGGTGAAAATTCTTAACTTTCTTCGACTATAGAGCATTCCCGCCTGTCGATGATGCTTTGGACGCGCTCCCACAGACTTTTTCAGCGTGCATACTCACTCAGGTTTGTCTATTATCGACGACGACGACGACGACGCGCACGTTTTCCCTTACTTCCCGGTGTTACTGGCGCCGATGTGTGCGAACGGTATTCCCGATAAGTTATATCACCGCTGATATCTCCGATTTTTCCGTTGGCACAAAACTCGCCGTTTTTTTTTTTTTCACGCGAAACACGTATTTCGGTGCGCGTGTATATACGCAAATTTGTGTTTATGTTTTAGACTTCAACCACGTCTCGAGAGAGAGAGACATTCAATTCAATGCTGAATTAACATCCGAATGTTCGAGACTATTTTTGTCTATCGTTTAAAATCGGTTCTCTCTTCCGCGCCGAGAGAGAGAGAGAGAGAAAGAGAGAACGTACAGAGAGATCGCACAACACAAAAGACAGGTATAATTTACCGAGAGAGCGATGGAATTGGAGATTAAGTCTCAACCGGAAGAGATCGCGCGGTCGGTTGTGTGTGTGTATCGGAAGAAGATACAGAGTGGCGATGTAACTTGTTGCGCCGAGTCGTACATATCGATTTTCCTGACCCCGGCGACCCGCGTGCCCCTTCCGCCTATCTGATACTTCCTGGAAAGTACATAATGTGCCGCGCGCTACCGCTTCTCCTCGATGTCTATGGTTTGTATGCCCCCCCCCCCCTGTCTCTGTTAACGAAGAAATTTGGTGTTGCCTGCGCGCGTTGCGCAACGCGATTCATTTCTCGGAAAGCGAAGATGCGCACGACTGTATCCTCCTGTTCCCCTTCCTCCCCCAGTGACAAACGCGTTACTTGCACGTAGTCTCAAGTAAGCGAGTTATCTCTGGATGTTATTATATTAAATATTTATATGAAAAATTAATTTAATTGATGCAACGTTCTTTAAGGATTTTTTTTTTGCGCAACAGAGACATCATTTTTACAAACGACGTGTGAAAATCGTGTCATCCCCCCCCGGAGATTGCGCGATCTTTTTAAAAGGTACAACCTGCGCAATTATCTCTCGAGAACGCGGATTTTGATGATGCGCGCGATGACGCGAGAGACGCGCGATGGGTATCGCGGGAGAATTCAACGTCGCGCGCCAATTACTTTGAACCCGTTAAAGGACGAATCGCGCGCGTCGTGACCAACGTTTCCAGATTACATCAGCAGAAACGTTGGTGGAGAATTACCGCGCGATGATCGCGCCGGATTAATCGAGAGTATAACAGCGGCGGGCGAGCGCGCCGCCGAGTTCCCACAGGAGAGAGGAGGTTGGGATCGAGACGCGTTTCCGTTTCGCGCGAACTTAAGAAGAGATTTTAGAGAGAGAGAGAGAGCGAAGCGCGGAATCCGAGAATATAAATAGAATTTATATTGAACGTACCGATGGCGTTCACGCGGAAGAAAACCGCGTTAATTGTTTTGCGCGCTCTCGGGCGCAATTAATTTACATTACTCGTCTCTTGGCGAATCTCTTTTTTATTCGTACATACGTATCGAGAAATCCTCGAATTGTTTTGACAATTTGGCGCGCGATGTTATAAAAATTCGTACAGTAAACTTCCGTGTGTGAACAAGATTCTCGTCGAGAGATGTCGTGAAATTTTATTGGAAAAAAAAAAAAAAAAAGTTGATCTCGTGAAACAATTCATCTCTCTGCTAATAATATTGCGGAACAATGTGTGTCGCGCACATAAATGAGAAATCACGTTTAGAGGAAGAAGCGCGTTGCGCAATCGCGATCCGCGTAAGATCGCGCGAAAAATAAAAATTTTATAAGATGCAATTCCGTGTACTTAACATCGACATTGAATAAGCGCATTTCGACGACATTTCAGTAACTAACGATCTAATATACGTATGGTTGAGGAGAGAAGAGAAAGTGTTGAGAGAGAGAGATAACTTGGTACTTTGCATACATCTATAGCTCTTTTCTTCTCGTGACATTACAATTATAAGGCCATTACTCCGCTCAAAAGCACAACACCGGCGGCTTAATCGACAAGAACATATATAAGAAACATGTAAAGAGTACGTGTTGTATGTGTGTGGCTTCGAAATAATATTATTTCAGTGTACGTACACCGGTGTATCCGTCAGTCATCGATCTTACAACACGCGTGTTACGTTTTCCCTTCTCAATAAAATATATATTAAACACTGAAAAAATACACATATGTATATAAGTATATTAAAATGCAATTTTAAATATTTATACATTTGTGATTCACAATTACAAATTTAGTGAATTTCTCTAAGTTGTTGGCAAACGTTTTTATTTTTCAACGATCTTTGTCGATCTTGCAACACATATATCTGCGTTTCTAATATCTTATACTAGAATTATTTATACATATATATATATAAATTTAAAATTTATATTTATTTATATAATTTGTAATTTATACAGCGCTTTCAGTGTGTATAAATTATTATTATATTATATTTTTAAATGTGCGTGTGTTTTTAACTAAATGAAAATTTTAAAATTAAATTTTTTGTTATTTAATATTGTGACTTATAATTATATTTAATTAATAATTAATGAAAAGAATTATACACACAAGTTTCTAATTAAATTCTCGCGGATCTTAGCGAAATCAAACGATCAAGTTGAAACGTTCTCGTTGTTGCAAATATTGCAGGTAAGAAGATCCGCGGGGCATAACGAACACGTCAGAATTCGCGAAACAAGTGAAAGACACGGACAGTGAACGGAAAGTGCAATCGAGTATTAAATAAAGAAGGGACGTGGTGTCCTCGCATCTTTTACGAGCGTAACTCGGGTAAATAGGCGTGCAAAATTAAACTGGGCCCCCGGGAGAGTAAGCGAGAAAAAATTGTTCCGCGCTCTACTCGACCGGATGTTCCGAGATGCGCGAGATATGTGACCCGAGCTAAGCGCTCGAAGGTAGAAAGGATCGAAGAATCTTTCCTTGGCACAGGCGAGTAGTGATCGTTTCGCCGCGTCCTCGGACCGCCTATCTAGTCCGTGATTTCACGGACGGGAGGTTAATTCTCACGAAGTCTTTAAAACGTTACGAAAGAAAAAAGAAAATTGCCGGAATATTTTGTATCGAGAAACAGAACTTTACGCTGGACGTGCGAAATATATGTAAAATTTTTAATACACGTATATATTTTTATATTTAAATATATGTATATATATATTTTTTTAACGTGTAAATTAGTACACGTTAAAGGAAATTTTAGAATTGAGTAACAATTCTAAAATTCACATAAGATGTGCCTTTGTATTATATATATACATATATGAATTTATATATATATATATATATATACACACATATATATAAATATAAATTCATATATATTTTGTATATAATACTTTGTATTATATATATATATAATGGCTCGTAAGGCCTTATATATTTCTTGTTATTATATATATATATATATATGAATTATTTCCCTGAATGAAATTTAAAAAAATGTCAAAATGTTTTAAAAATGTCAATGCGAAAAAGACATCCCGGCCAAAAATCAAAACCGGTATCTTTCGCATGCGGTTAAATGAATTAAACGGGGTTAAACGGGTAATTTATATACAATGCGGCATTCTATATGAATCTTACAATTGTTATTCAATTCGAATTTCCTCCTTGTATTAAGTTAAAAATATACATTCCGCACGTATCCAGTGAGTGGCTGTAAAGTTGTGTTTCGTGATTTTTTTTTTTTTTTTTAAGTTTATTGAAGCCGCAATTGTTGTCTCAATATTTAAAAAAAAAGTAAAAACACACACGCGCGAGGTGGAACAATGGGATCGTAAAATTTAGTGCGAATTATATACCTTGCCCCCCGAGAGAAGCCAAGTTTTCTCGCGATAGAAAACGCGCGGCGCGTTTTGCGCGCTACCGCGTTGGGGGATTTCGTCATAAATAAAGTTTCTCGAGAAACGTTATTTGCACATAACTCATTTGTCGACTGTCACACAACACAACAACACACACGTCGTCCAAAAGTCTCTCTATCTCCTAGATCTGTGTGTGTTGTGTGTGTGTCTCTTCCTTCCCTTTCTTTCCCTCTCTCGCGCCGGGCTTTCCCGCGAATCTGCGCGACGAGTTTTCGTTTGACCCTCGTGTTTGTTGCGACGCGGCGCAGCGCTCTCGATATTTGCAATTCTCGATCGAAGGGAACGGACGCGACGTTCGTCGATCGAACGCGGTCGATCGAACAAAATAGGGGGAAACTCTAATTCGCTCTCCGTACTCAACCTCCTCATCGTGCTCTCCTAACGAGTTTCTTCTTTTATACACGTTCGGTTTTCTTCGGCCGACCGCTCGATTACATCTCGCAATAAATATTGCGCAATGTTAATTTATATCTCCCCGCCTCTCGGAGAACGTGAGAAAAATTTCCTCCGATTGTCCGACGTTCCAACAAGAAATCGATATCGATTCTCTTACAGCGCCTCTCGCTTGTTGTATATACGTGCAATATTTTCAATTTGGGAAGAGAGTTTTGTTTACGCAAATTCTGAATTTGCGTAAAAATACATTGATTTGAATTCGTTCGCGGATAATAACTGTCATAACGTTTTCCACAAACGGAGCTCCGCGCGCGGCGTTTTATCTCGGCGATCTCGCGAAATTTCACTCCTTCGAAGTTGGATATATACACGGTTTTATATACGGACGTTTAGCGGTTTGCCCGGAGAGAACGTGGAATTTCACGAGAAGATATATCCTACCATTATCATTATATTCTCTAGGATGCAAACGTATAATATGTAGCTCAAAGTTGCGTTACGTGCGCACATACACGTGTGTGTGTGTGTGTGTGTATGCGCGTTGCGCAACCGCGGAAAAAAGAATGCATATATATATATATGTATATGATATTCCACATTTGCGACGGAACGTCGGTCGTCTAATTTGTCCGTAACGTGGATTACATTACGTCTCTCACGCTAATTTACGGTTGAAATATCTGTCGGTCATTAATGTACAGTTTTCCGGATGCATATTTTTAACGTCGTATTGCGTCAGAACAGAGAGGATTTCTTTCAGCATGTTTTTTTTTTCCTTTTCTAGGAAAGAAATTGCAGTCGCGGCGCGTTTTAAAATTGTTGTCGAGACAACAATGCGAATCCTGAATTAAATTTCGCGTTTCGCTGAATTAAATATCGATCGAATTGCTCGCGCGCTCATTTAAATTTTTAATGTTTTAAAAGGTAAACGTTTGCCCTCGCGCAAACCGGAAACGCGCTACTGGTAGTTTACATTGATTTAAAGAAGTAAATTGTTAGATGTGCAAATATATTAATTGTAACAATTTCTCAATGTTTTAAGTATTTTTTAAAAATATGTTTTTAATTATTAGTTTCTAACATTTTTTTTTTTTATAAATACTTTGTATTTTTACAATTGCTTATAATTGTTTATCATTCTTTGGCAAATGTCCCGTCGGATATGATTGTTAAGCAATAATTATAAACAATTAAAAGTGACCCGGTCGCAGTTACTTCACACAGTTTCAAGAAAAAATATAAACTGTCGTTTATATATTTTATAAACGGGAGTAAATACGAAAACACAGATGATCGGCAACGCGTCGCGTTGAAAAAGATTCCCCGTCTTCGTGAAACTTGGAATTTATTCCTCTCGATTTTCAATTTGTACAACCGCGGATGAATGGAATCGGGGGAATCTCTTTCTTTCTCTCGTCCTCGGCCTCGATAGTCGCATGAAACCTCCGATCGATAAAGATCCAGATCCGCCGGAGTCAGATCGCGAAGTGAGAAAAACGAGAACACGACAAAGGGACTCGCCGTCGTGGTCTCGGGAAAGTTCAATTCTTTCTCGAGGAAAAAAAAGAATAAAAAAAGAGCGCGTCTTCGCGCGCAAATTCGGGTCAAATGAATTTCGAGGTCCCTTTCTCCCTCTCTCTCTCTCTCTCTCTCTTTCTCTCTCTCTCTATATATATATATATATATTCTCCGACGAGGTAAGAACTTCCTCGCGGGGAAGGAAAACTTTCGGTTTCGCAACGAAGGTGGACGATAATTCAATGTGATGCGCCAACAGCCGCAGAGAGCACTTACTTTATTAGATATTCTACGCATTTGGAAGCATCTGTCGGACATCAAAGGAAAACACGCGCTTATGCTTTTACCGCAATCCTTTTATCGCGATATTATACATGCAAAAACAATTCTGATATATGTGCCGTGTCTTTTACGACCAGAATTCTCTTTCTCTCTCGGTATATAAACTCGGTTTCGATAATAACATTTCTGTTTTCAATTTATTCTCTTTACGCACAAATAAAGTGTATAATTATTATGTAAGCAGCTTGCAAGCCTTGTTATTTATTATATAGCATTTACTTTATTTGTTTTCTTATTGTGTAATTTTTTATATTAGCGTCTTTAATTATTATTATTATTATTATTATATTATTATCTCATTATTATTGTTATTACATTATTTTCAGAGCTATAATTATCTCTACGGTCCGACATTTGCGATTCAAATCGATATATCGAATTTTTGATCTCATTTCCGTATATGATTTGCATTGCCGTTGAATTAAAAAATTGAAACTGAGAGAGAAATCCGATTTGCCGTTCGTTTCGTTGTTATGTCACATTCGCGAGTTGATTTTCGAAATTGTAGACGATATACGTGAGCGCGTACACGGGCGCTGGGTCTTCGAACGCGCGCGTGAAGAAGCCGTCGCCCAAGCCAGGCTAAAAGTTTTCGTCGGCCAATGTCCCGAATTGGAGAACTCGTTCTGCTTGTGATCTACTTCTCTCTTGCGTGGCGTGTAAGTATGTATGATCGCGAAATAAGCTCTCGCGACGAGCATGCGCATATTTTGCTACAGATTCTATCTTCTTCTCACATTACGTGATGGCGGCAAACGTGTGGATTTTAATTTGCTCTGGATTTTTTTTTCTCTCTCTCTCTTTCTCTTGCTTTTTGTCTCTTTTTTCGCGCTTCCGAGGAACGACAACCGAAATTTTCAAGTTCCTTTTCTCTTCCTGCTGAAGTTTCTCGGCCGCGCGGAAATAGTCAATTTCATTGTTTCTCAGCCTCCGGCGGGAAGCCGTTCGGCTTTACCGCGAATTACTTGGTCAATCGCGAAGCGTTATTTAAAAAGCGAGATGAGTGATACGTAAACGTTTTTATGTAATAAAACTTCCAGATGTAATGAAAGAAAGTCCTTCTCAAAGTTGAATTGTTTATTAAATTTTGATGCTCGACGGATGAACATTATTGCATAATGAGTAAAAATGTAAAAAATAAAACACTTGTTGTGACAATATTAACGTGTACATGATAAGTAACATATTAACGTATAGTAATATACAAAATATAAATATACAGATTTTGTTTTCGCGCAATAAAAATAATAATAATGTGTCTTTATTAAGTACAACAACGACCTAATGGACGAGATTGAGTAGGCTTTGGATGCCTACTTAGATTTACAAAAAATTAAAATTGAAACTGACTAGAAAAAAAATCAACGAAAGAGAAAACTAAAAAATTCCCTCTCTTGTAAACAGGTTGTTGTACTTCGTAAATTAATATATGTCATTAATCATGTGAAATTCGCGAAATGATCAAAGACTTTTCGTCTTGGTACAACCCGTTCTCTACCTGCTCGCAAAAAATGATACCTGGTTATTATATACCTGTACGTTTTACGTATAATGATTAGGTTATATTGTTATAAATTGTTACAGATGAAAGGGAACGAAAATAATTTCGGTAACACATTTCGGCCTTTGACAATACGACACGCACGATTTGTATCGACGACACAATGAGCTTGAAGAAGTTCGTACAATAAATAATACTTGGCATATTTTCTAAATGACGTTACGTAAACTGTGCGACTACTAAATAATTATTATACGCAATGCACACACAGTACAATCGAACGAAATTGGTTCCGAAGTCGCAGATGCTTGACTGCCAGTCGCACTTTCTACAGACGCGCCGAAATGTCTCTCTTCGACCGCGCGCACACGCAATGTGCGCGATAACGCGTCCACGCCATAAACGGTTAAGTTTGTTTCTTTTTTTTTTTTCTCATAGTGTCAAATAGACGGACTTTTTTTTACGTCATCGGTTGCCGCAATCGTCCACAACGATGGTCTCTACAGAGACCAAGTCGCGCAAAGTTCACGATTTTCTATACATGCCTTCGTCTTAATTCTCCGCGAAGCTGCGTTCGAAGCTCAATGTGAGGAAAGCACGATTGTATCTCCGTAATTTTTCATCGCGGCACTTCCGCCCGTCACGGTTCGCCGACGGTAATTTGTCGATTCTCCCGACTGTGGGAATTTGTGGAATTAAACAAACGAACAAAAAAAAAACCAACAAAACGAACGTTTTTATCGTTAGAATCGCGGCGAATTATCGATCTGTACGTACGCGAAATTACGGGGTGGAGCGAATGATGCTTTTATGGACCGAGATGACAGACTGCAAACGTGTAATTTTGCGCGTTGCATAATTAGTGCATATATAATCCTCTCTCTTTAAATGTACGAGTTAAAGAGGATTATGTTGCAAATTTTTGTAACAATATCGCGCGACGTCGATAATTGCAACAATTTGATATTTTACACACGTTCACGTTTTTATTTGCACAAAAAAATGTGATAACTATAATTTTTGCGGATAAAAAAAAAAATAATCGCGTTAACACGTTTTAATTTCCGCGAAAGAAAGTAATTTTCTAACAAATGAAATAGCAATTGAATTGGGGGGGGGTAAATTGAATAATTCGCCTATGTGTGATGCGAGAAGCAAGTTTGTTTTAAATGAATTTTCGAATTCAGTCCGACTTATTACGAGTATATTAATGTACACGTTTAAATAAATAAAATAAAAATGTGTATTTCGCATAAACATCAACACATTTGGCCACTCTTTTCTTAGTTTATTTGATACTACGTGAGTTTCAATTTGTTGTTAGATTTGTAGTCATATTAAAGTTAATTATGATTACAAATTTATTTACAAATAAAACATGTTGCTTTGATTAAATGAAAGAACAATGCATAAATCTCCAAAACGTTTCAATTGTTTGGAATTTAAAGCGAAAAATAAACTGTTTTTTTTTGTTTTGAAAAAAAAAAAACAGAACCCCAACAAGAAAGATTGAGGGTTGAATTTTTTGAAAAAGATCTGGAAAAAAAGTGAGTCATTTCTCTGGATGAGTTTGTCTCAGAAAACACGCACGCATTGTTTCGGTCGATTTAGCAGTTGGAATAAAAAAATTGTCTCGTTAAAAGCCAAAGGTTTTTAAAAGCCTAGGTCTATCGCGCGCGCGATACCGCAAAAACAACCGCTAAAACAAATTTCTCTAACACACTCGTGAAAATGTCCTTACGACACACTTCTCACGGCTTCTCGTTTGTCGAGTCCTCCTGAAGGTCCGTTTCGTTGTTCTCCGCAAAAACTGATCGAACGAACGTTACGATCTATGCGTTTATCGAATGTGTTGAATTTCGACGAAAGTATATATACGGAGACACAAAATTTGAGCGATGCGCGGTACAGGTTTGCGTATTGCAAGAAGAGACAAGAGTCGCCGAGGGAGAAAGAAGGAGAGAGATTTGCAATAGCTCCGTCGCATCTCATAGGTGATGGGTCGAGGCTCATGAGTGGGGCCCCCAAGCTGGCCCGTATAAAAGGGGGCTTCAAGACATTCGCGGAGCATCAGTCCTCAAATCAAGGAACAGCAGCAACTATGAGGGCATTCGTGGTGAGTATAGTGTGTCCACCGACGATTTCTCGTCTCTTCGATCTCTCGTTCGCGTCCTGTTCTTTTTTTTCTTCTTCTCTCTTTTTTCTCTGCTTTCTCCTCATCCTCATCCTCCTCCTTCTCTTCTTGCGCGCCGTTTTGCGCGTGCAAATCTCTCTCGGGGATCCTCTCATCATCATTTCTCTCCTCATTTCACTTCGGAGATCACAAATGTGAGATTTCTCGAAGGATGAGAGAGAAACACAAAATTCGTCGCTCGTTCGGGATCATTGTGAGGAGCAAACGGAAAGACGCGCGCGGGAGAAAGTAAAAGAGAGGGGGAGGATGCATGAGGGAGCATTGTGTGCGGTGTCAATGTACTCCGTCATAGTGACCAATCTTGGGAACCGGTTCAGTGATTGTGCCACTTACTTCTCTAGTTTCCGTTCGCGTGATTTGAAAGAGAGACGAGAAAAATTAATTAGGTATTATACTTAAAGCGCGTAAAATGTGGGATTCTCATTCGGTAATATGTAACAAACAACGCTGTAACAACGGTGGCATGAAGAACAGCTGATTGTTAAAATCAAAACGCGCGTCTTATATGTCTTACCGCGCGCTTCTGGAAATGCTTCTTCGCGTAACAGAAGAGTTTCATTTTCATGTTTTTGTCGTATATTATTACGTTAGTACACCAGTTAGTATACTAATTAGTTATACTGTGTATTAATTGTATTGTATTTTGTATTATGAAAAAAAATTTGATTTGTGTAATTGCAGATCCTGGCGCTCGCCGCGACGGCGATGGCGCGGCCGGAAGCCGGATACTCTTATAGCCAGCCGAGCGGCAGTTACGGTGCTCCTGGCGGCCTCGGAGGTGGCGGCGGCCTCGGAGGTCTCGGAGGTGGATTCGGGGGTGGCGGAGGTGGTGGAGGCGGCGGAGGATTTGGCTTAGGCGGAGGATTCGGTGGCGGTGGCGGTGGCGGTGGCGGTGGTGGCTTCGGCGGCGGCTTCGGTGGCGGTTTCGGTGGCGGATCGCTGATCCAGAAACACATCTACGTCCACGTACCGCCCCCGGAAGCTCCCGAGGATCGACCGCTCAGGCCGATCGCGCCACCGGCACCTCCACAGAAGCACTACAAAATTATCTTCATTAAGGCGCCCACTCCGCCAACCCCGACCGCACCGGTGATACCGGCTCTGCCACAACAGGACGAGCAGAAAACGCTCATCTACGTATTGGTCAAGAAACCCGAGGAAGCGCCCGAGATCAGCCTGCCCACCATTGCACCCACTCAGCCCAGCAAACCGGAAGTCTACTTCATCAAGTACAAGACGCAGGTAATGAGCGAGAGGGAATCGATGACACAACCCACAAGCGGAAATTCTAAACTGATTATATACAAAACTGTTAAACAAAAATTTGTTTTTTCTTATGCGCATTACAGAAGGAAGTTACTGGCGGTGGCGGTGGTGGCGGTGGTGTTGGATTCGGCGGTGGCGGCGTTACCTCGATCGGCGACACCGCCACTAGCGGTGGCCTCGGCGCTGCCTTCGGCGGTGGCGGCGGCGGCGGTGGCGGCGGCGGCGGTGGCGGCGGTGGTTTCGGCGGTGGTTTCGGCGGTGGAATCGGAGGCGGCACCGGCATCGGTGGCACCGGACCAAGCGGACCCAGCACGAGTTACGGGCCACCCGGCGGTGGATCCGGGCCATACTAGTCAATTCACCCCCGCTACCCCCGCGGCCCCTCCATCCCACTCCTCCATTCACCGACATACACGCACACACAGCTCACATACCTCTAACATAATCAGCGACGACGATACTCGCCGTGTTGATGTATCGCCGTTACGTACGCGCGATCGCCAAGACAAGAAGAAGAAGAAGAAGACGATGATGGTGATAACGTTGACGAAGACGGCGATGACGACGATGATGCCGCACACGATAACGACGGCGACGTTGATGATGATGATGATGATGATGATGATGATGATGAAATACGACGATGAGAACGACGACAATGATAATGATAAGATCGATTATCACGACGACTACCACAATGATGATGATGACGACGACGACGTTGATGATGATGACGATGATAATGATTATGACGACTGGAACGAAGGAGAGATGTTTTTTTATACTTATTTTTTGCAAGAAAACGGTGGCGAAATAAAGCTTTTTTTATGTATTTTTACATAAAATCACACATGTCTCTCTTTAATCTCAACACTTATTCCGCATCCTTCCAATCAGTTTCGAGAGGACGAACGCAACCAACGAAATCGTTCGTTCTATTCGACGATTCCGTGAACGTTTTCGTGAGAAAACCAGGTGGATTGGAAAGACACACACGCTGCGACGACGATTATATATATGCTGCTTTTTTATCCTCCCGGAAGTTCGCCGCCGTTTTTTACGGACGATCGAACTCCGCACGTCAACTCCGTGCGCACGATCGACGGCGCGTTCGAACCATTTGATATATATATATTCTTTTTTGTATCGTTTTGCTTTCGCACTAATAATAATAATAATCAAACGTGCAAACGCTTTTGCACGTTTAAGGAGAGGGGAGGGAGAGAAAAAGATCCGCGCCAGAGAGCGGTTCCGCGGCGTGTTTCTCGGAAGAGACACCGCGCGTTCGAGTTTCAATTTGGATTCTCCCGAAGCAGGTGTCACGGGGGATTTAATTCCCCCGGCTTCCTTTCACAGTGTGCGTTTCCGCATGAGAACGCCGCGCATGTGTTGCGCGACAATGGCAACAATTCTCGTCGGGAGAAAGGGAGAGAAAGAGAGAGAGAGAGAGATGAAGAGGGAGAGAGAGAGAAGCGCGCCTCCGCGCGCGTTTATCTCTTTCCGAAAAGGTAGCGCATCTCTCGGCGCGCGGTTGAAAACTTTCACTGCGCTTCTAAACAACCGCTAATCATCAAGAGGAGACGCGAGAGAACGACGCTTCGTCGCGTCCCGGCTGCTTTTCGCGCGCGTTTAAGCCGCTTTTCCCTCACCTCTCTGCTCTGTTCTGCTCTGCTCTTCTCTCACGCGGAATGTCTTTCCGCGAAACGGCGCGCGCAAAGTGGCACAGAAAGATCTCCCTTCGCGATGACCAGGCGAATTTGATTCAACGCGCGTGACAAATGGCGCCTCGGCGTCTGTTTTGTATGATAAAAAAAAAAAATTCAAACAAACGTTTCAATTATAAATCGTACGTTAATATCCACCTGTTCGCGCCTCCCAACGAAGTGATTAATCAATTTCCTTTGGCAAGGTGAAAGAACGTGATGCACTTTTTTTTTTTTACAAGACTTGTGTTCGATGCGCATCAATTGTGTTTTTTATATTATTTTCTAACTACACGCACGGGAGAGAGTTTTTGATCACATTTCGCGCGTTTGCAAGGAATAAAAAATCGAATAGCGAAAATAAAAACAAAAAAAAAAAACAAACAAAAAAATACAAGCTCTACGAAATTAAAATAAATAAAAAAGGAGCCCCGAACACACTGCGACTTTTTTTGCGCAAACACAGTTGTTCCGTAATGTAATCTTCGATCGTGACGTTAATTGGACGTCTCGGCTTTTGAGTCTTGGATTAAAAAAAAATCCTAAAGTCGACGAAACGTCTCAATGAATTAATATTGCGTTCGCACAATAACTTTCTATCGCGCATTGTGTGTTGGAATTAAATCGAATCGATTTGACGTTTCCGTCGACTCTTTTCGAATCCGATTACACTTTTTTACCGCTTCTCATCGTCATATCACGCTTCGCGTTTGCGAGGATAAGTCGTGAATAGGAGAGACGAAATAAGGTTCTCGTTTATAACCGACGTGAGAGAGATGACGTGCAAATGAAATGCGTACATACACGCATTTCGACTCGTGTACCTACATGTCGCGTGCGTCGTCCGCACGTAACAGCTGTTTGCTACTTGAAATCGCGCTCGAGGGGAAAGATGAGACTATACGGCGGGCGAAAGCGAGGCCTCCTCCGCGCTCATTGACACGAGAGTTTAACGGGAGAGAAGACGAGAAAACGGCGCCCGAATGAAAAGAAAGAAAAGGAAGAGCGCGCGTTACTTTAACTTCTGCTCGGTACGTGTACGTGTGTTAAGTACGCGTGTGTGCGGTTCTTTCTCTCACGATTCACACATACACATACGTGACACGAGTGGCGATGGGAAACAGAACGACGATTCAAATCGTTTCGGATTCACGACACGACAAGCGAATAAATCAAGCGTCTTCTACGTCTTGGCGAATCTTAGACGCAACCTCAGATTCTTTTCTAAACGCACACGGGCCGCAAAAAAAATTGATGTCCTTCCGGGATAAACGGAAATCGTCTCGTGATTTATTGAAGAAATTTATTTTTCAAATTTTTGCTACAAGCAAAACGATCTCTTTGACTTTATCAAAATTATTTGTTCTTAAACAATCGAACACAATCGAGCAATCGAGAAATCGTCTCGTAAATTGCTAAAGAAATGTATTTTTCAAATTTTTTATTTGCAAGTAAAATTCTCTCTAAATTTATCGCACGGTTGTCGGTTTTTGCATGTTCAAAGACGATGTGCAAGAAATTTGTCGAGCAAAATTGCGAAGATATCGATTTAATTGTCGATTATAATCAATTTATATATTTTTATTAATCAAACACCGGGACTGTAAAGTCAAGTATATATTACGGGAGTTGTGCGTGCCGCACTTTCTCCTCATTGGAAGAAACGGGTTTGTGTATTTCCGATTTTTAAAATAATATTCCGAATCGTTCAATTTTGTTACGCTTTATCGGCGAAACTTTCGATGAACACGAATGACTCATCAGGTAACAGAGAGCGCGCGACTCTCTCGGATTCGAGAAACGCGAGTAAATTTATCAAGAAGAATGTTTCGATTATGTGAGATTCGCGCGTTATTTGAAACGGAGAAGGGGGATGAGAAAAACGCTGGCAAAAATGACCGCAAGTGCCGCGTAACACACACACACACACAGAGAGCGAATTGGAAGATAAGTCGCGGGGGATAAAAGTTAAGGGAAAGATCGCGAGAGCGAGACGCGAGGTTTATAACGTGACAGCATCGCGTTAGTAGCCAGCAGGCAACTTTCACGAGGGAACACCTCGCTCTTCTCTTCTCTTTCCTCCTTTTTTTTTTTTTTTCCACTCGAACAAGGAAGAGAGAAGGCAAGAGAGATACGCCAGGCAGACGCCTGGCAGGCGAGGAAAGGAGAAAAAAAAACACTTTCGAAAGGTCAGACGCCGGCCTCGTTCAAAAATCGAACAGATCGGGGGCCGTTATTCGGACATTGTCTTCTCTCTTTCTCCTTCTCGCGATCGCGATATTTATCCGGTCGCGGGACGTTTGGTTTCTGAGCGTGAAAGCGCTTCGCGATCCTTTTCCTCCGTGATGGTNTNGCNTNNNNANTNNTTTTTTNNNNTTTNTTTTTTTTTTTTTTTNTNNTTTTTTTTCTAGACCGAGTCTAGGACCGTTTGAGCTTTTATCCTCTTTGATAATGGTACGAGAGACTTTTTTGTCTCTTTTCAACCGCGTTAAACGTATCGAATAAATTGACCGAGAAGTCAATGCTGACGCGTGGCATTACGCGTTGTGTTAATTTCGTTCGTATACGTGTCACGTAAAAACTGTCACGCGGCGCTACGCATTAATTTGACAGCTCAAATTGTGCAAGAAAACAATCAATCAGCGTCGCGAGAAAGAAAAAAAGATAACAATGAAATTTACACGCTTGACGTCGTTTCGAAAAACAAATATAACATTTGTATTTCAAGAAATGTTATTAAAGAAGACACTTTAATAAAATCGCTTGAAGATAAAATACATTTAATAAAAAAAATTGATAATAAAATTTCAAATATTGTCAAAAATAATATTTCCAAAATATAATCATATCGAATGTTATCTAAAGAACTCGATGATAAAAAACGTTTCCTAAAATATATAATTGTATATTATTTTTATTTCCTCGCAAATTATTTACGTTTTTGTTTATTTAATAGAACTTTCGTGTTTTCGAAGTTTTTTAAGTTCGATTATTTTACGTTCGATAAAATCTGCGAAACGACGTTTGTCTCTTCTTCGGTTATTTTAACGAGAGTTTAATAACGTTCAATTTTGTAAATTAATAATGTCCCGTGAGAGAAGACACGATGTTATGATAATCGCGCGATAATATCCGCGCGATCGAGCCGTGAAAATTGTGCCGTTAATAATGCGTTACGTTCGAGTGGCTCGCGAAAACGTGTTCGAATAGCGTAACCGTTATTATTCGGGGATGTGTCTGCGAGTCGCTATTTCAATTATGAACCGCGACGGACATTTATAATCAGCGGGGCGCGCACATTCGCGATCAATTATATACGCCGCGAAACGGCGTTTGATTGCGTTGATTTTTCATATTTCGCGACGCGATATATGCGCGCGCCGTTTCATTATTTTAACGAGGAGATCGAAGAGAAGAGACCGACACGCGCGTCACGTGCACACAAGGAAGAGAACTTGCAGAACGCGGAAGATTTCCTCCTCGCGGAAAGGGGGAGGGGAGGATCTCATCCCACGAGAGGATGAGCGTGTGCACGATTGCTCGGCGTGTATTCACTCCGCTAATTTATTAGAACCATCGATGGCGCATCACGGAGGTCGAGAAGGAATCACTTTCACTGTTCCGAGTTTCTCGATACCGAGTTACACGCGATCGCGCAATTTCGTCCTTGCGGAAACGTCGACGGTGCATCAGGGATATCCTTTCTGGAATTATATCTCTGAAAACGACACGTCGAAGATTATATATTTCATCGATATTTGAAATTTTCAGACTGTTACAGAGTGCACGATCTTATATTTATTTGAATAAAAAATATAAAAATATATAAAACACAAATATATGAAATAAAATAAACGTATAATATTTCATAAAATATAAATGTATCTCGCGTATTAATTTTTTTAAATTTATTTTTTAATAATTTATTTTATTTAATAGAATTTTACTATATATACTCAAATTATTTACGTTTGCTTTTTCGAAATAAATTAAATCTGCACAAAGTCGCTCAAACGCGCGCGCGGTTGTGAAATTTGTTTTTTCTCTCAGACTTCGCGTTCGTCGTTGTTTTGGAAGAATAAATGAACCGAATTAGTTACACTTTCCGTATCGTAACCCGCGTGTCGTAAGGTAACAGCCGCTAATAACCATCCGCGGCCGGATCGTTAATCGAAAGATGAAAATTTCACAAAAAAAAAAAAACCTCCCCGTGCGGGTTTTCGCAGGAATGCGAGAAAGAAACGCGGGTATTTCGCCGATCAATCACACTTGACTCGCGCGGAAACGAGCGAGTAATTTCTCGTAATTTCGAGACTTATCCCTTCCCTCGAATAAAAACGCGATTATGCGATGCGCGCGCGAAGAGGAGAAGAGAAGCAATTTTTTTTTTTTTTCCCCTACCCAAACTCTGCAACAAACGTATCTACGTCTCTTACATAAGGGACTACGTACTGAGGTACGTACTACGATCGCGCCGGACGACGGAACGCCGTGGACGCGATATTATAAGCCCCGCGGGTCTCTCTTCTTACTTCGCGCGGCGGGAACTCTCACGAGTCGCCGACGCCGCCGTTTTAGATTGCAATTCTCCGGTGTTTGCGCGAGCGAGCGCGAGCTACAAAATCCCGAATATGATGGACCGCGATGACACGCGCACGGTGAAAGGTGCCGGCAAGAGATTATAGTAGTACACGCTCTATGTGGCTTGCTCGCCCGTTTTCGCGGCGGATTCGGACGAGATGTGCTGAGAGAGAGAGAGATGATGATGCTGTTTAAAAGCACCGAATAGAACGTTGTCCCGCTGACGCGATTATATCGACAGTTTCTCGCGCAAAGAGTTACATCAGTACTGAATACACCGAAAATGTCGAGAGCAAGTTACGCGCAAGTAACGTCTTACGCGCGCGCACCGATCTAATCGCGACAAAAAAAAATATGAGAAATGTTTGCAAATTAATTATTATTATTTATCGTATATATTTATTCAAAACGCAATAGAGAAGCAATAAAAGATATCTAATACACATAAAAATTAGATGAAAAATTAAAGTGTAAAATTAAATTGTATTTTAATTACTTTTTAATTGAAATTAATAATTTATAAATTAACTATTCTGGCGTTCAAAATTGTGTTTTGTGAAGCAAAAATATTTGATATATTTCTTCTACATTTTTTTTTTAAATACGGATTAATAAGTCGAACGAGAGACACGAGAGGCGCGTTGCACTTATATTCTCGCAAGTTGATTGTTTTTTTGTTTCTTAACTTCTCTCTCATTGTGAGGTGGAGCAGCGACATGTTTCTTAAACGCTGGTTGCCGCTTTTAACGGCACAACAATTAGAGACGGGTTATATTAACTCCGTAATCTCTCTTTGACACTTGTGTTTTAATTTCTTCCGTCGTGATTTTATAATGAGCAGCGACAACGACAACAATCGGCGCGCCTCGACAACAATCTCACTCACGGTGCGATATAAAAAGTGCGATCCACTCCCCCCCCCCTCCCCCTTGTGAGTTTGCATACGTTTGTTGCGTAACAAACGCAGACAACGTACTACACACACCCACGTGCACGTTGAAGAGAAGTATACATAGCTCGCGGATATTTTTTTTTTTTACTTAGCTTGTCATTCGATACTTCTCGTTTGAAATTAATTGTCAGAAAATGACGCGTGACTTTTCAATGCGAAGAGAGTACTTCGTGATTTATCAAGCGAGCGTGTGTTCGCGCGCGCGCGCGTTATGAAATTATTGCGAGAGACACGCTCGGAGTAACGTTAAATTAGCGTGAAACACACGGTCGGAGCAACGGAAATATATCCTGGCTTTCTCAGACTCAAACAACGATGTCCTAATCCTCCTCCGCATACTGTGTCAGATTCTACTGATGTACACCTTGTTATACACGCGCGCCGCGCGCGTCTTTTCTACACTCTCCGTTCTCTCTCTCGCGCGCGCATTCTTTTGTGTGCGCGATTCGGATTTTGCTCCGCTTAAATGGAGCGGAGTGTAGTCTTAATAATAACCGTTTTTCGACACGGTTAATTGAAATGCGGCGTAATTTCCGAGATTGAAATTATTAACACACACATTCGCGACGACTCGAAATGTCTCGAAATAAGGCAAATGTTCTCATTACAATAGACCGAACGTTTGTTTTAAAGAAGCAATTGTAACGAAGTCAAGTAATATATATTACGTATCTATATAAGTAAAAAGTTGCACATATATATAAAT